AAGTGGTAGAGCGCTAGCCTTGAGCTGAAGAGCTGAGGGACAGCGCCCAGGCCCAGAGTTCAGGCCCCACGACTGGACCCAAAAAAGAAAAAAAAAAAAGCTGTGGAGGATTAAATGTCCTTAGAGTAATTCAGTACTACCATAGTTCGTTCTATGTGGAAAGTCCCTGAGACCCATAGAGGGAAAGGACCAATTCAGAACTTTGCTTTGTTGATGGAGGCCCAGAGTTGTGTAATGGTACTGACACATTTCTTCAACATGCTGCCAGTGGAATTGAGTCTAGGTAGGGGAATACCACTGTGAACACGGGACCATTCATTCTTCCACTTGGCTCTTTTTTTTTTTCTGAGATTGTTCTATTTTTTCTTTGGTGAAGATCGGTTACTGGTAAACTCTTGTGGTCTGTTTTTCCCTCCTTTTAAACAGCAAATGTCTTTATTTTGTCTTTGTGAAAGACAGTTTCAAGTACATGACTTCCATTATTTTGAGACTTCAGCTGTTTCTTCTCAGAAATCAGCTATATGTCTAATGGATATTTTTTGTATGTAATCTGCTTTTGTTATACTTTATTAACTGTTTTAAGATGGTTTCTTTATCCTTCATAGTCTGGTTTGACTACTATGTACTGCACCTAAGAGTGGACTTATGATTTCCCTTCCTTCTTTTCTCTCTCCCTCCTTCCCTCTCTCCCTCCCTTCCTACCTTCCTTCCTTCCTTCCTTGCTTTTTCCTTCTTTCCTTCCTTGCTTCCTGTTTGTCCTCTGTTTCTTTTCCATTCCTACTTTCCTCAGGACTCAGTGTGATTCTTGTATTTGAAGGTGTTATTTGGCAATTCTGGAAAATGACCCTAAGTTTTCTATTTAGATAGTGCTTTTGTTCTATTTGCTCTGTTATCTTCTTCTAATCAGACACTCTATTCTCTGAGTCTCTTATTCTCAATTTATTGCTTATTTCAAACCCTCCTTGGAAGTTTCTCAGCATATCCATTTCCTAGGGAAAATGATGTATGACAAGTGATGTATGACAAGTACACAAACTTGTCTTAAACAATACAAATGGATTTTCTTACAGTTGTAGAGCTGGATGTTCATATCTATGTGTTAGTGGGTTCCATGTGTCCTCTGGGGTCACTAAGGAAGGACCTCTTCAGGCCTTTCTCCTAACTTCTAGAATTTCCTTGTTTTATGCCAGCATAACTATAATTGTCACATGATAGTCACCCTGTCTGCATGCTTATCTCCAAATTTGTTTATATATAAATAAGTATACCAGTTATGTATTCCCTAGTAAGGTTAAGGATTCACTCTAATGTGGTATGACCTTATTTTAACTACATCTGACATGATTCTATTTCCACTTAGTATTGGGAACTTTATTGTTTGTTTGTTTTGTGTCAGTTATGGGGCTTGAACTCAAGGCCTGGGTGCTGTCACTGAGCTTTTTTGCTTAAGGCTAGAGCTTTGCCACTTTGAACACATAGTGCCACTTCAGGTTTTCTAATGGACATGAGTCTCATGGACTTTCCTGCCCATCTGGTTTTGAACTGTGAGCCTCAGATCTCAATTTCCTGAGTAGCTAGGATTACAGATGTGAGCCACTGGTGCCTGGCTTGGTTTTGGGAATTTTAACACATGTCTCCGAGGGATGCTACTCCATTGTCATGCTTCATTCTACCACTTACATATGTAAATCCTGGGAAAGTTTCTTAGCATCTCTGCATCTCAGTTTCCTCATTCATAAGTGGGGACAATAATAGCACCTAACTCAAAAAGTTGAACAAGTATTAATTACATAGTGCATAAATCACTTCAAACAGGGCTTGGTACCTTGCCTGTGCTCTGTCGTGTGCTACTGTTATTGTAATAATCAACTTTTAAAGAGACATGTTTACTGTTTACCAAGAGTCTACTAAAGGGGTGACTTTGATCAAGAAGTACTTAACACTTAGATGGACACAATAAATTATAATCTACTTGTTCAATCCTTTGAAGTTCAGAAAAAAAACAAGACTCAATCTTTTTTTTCCTTCCCTTTTTTTGTCTTAAATTATTTGGATTTAGGTAAAGAATAAGGTCAACAGCCAGGTGCCAGAGGCTCATGCCTGTAATCCTAGCTATCAGAAGGCTGAGATCTGAGGATCATGGTTCAAAAGCCAACCTGGGGAGGAAAGTCCATGAGACTCTTATCTCCAAAAAAACCAGAAGTGGTGCTGTGGCTCAAGTGGTAGAGTGCTAGCCTTGAGCTGAAGAATTGAGGGACAGCACCCAGGCCCAGAGTTCAAGCCCCATGACTGACAAAAAAAGAATAAAGTCAACTTCAAAAGTTTCAGTAAGCTGGGTGCTGGTGGCTAATGCCTGTAATACTAGCAATTCAAGCAGCTGAGATCTGAGGATTACAGTTTGAAGCCAGCTTAGGCAGGAAAGTCTGTGAGACGCTTATCTCCAATTAACTACTCAGGAAGAGCTGGAAGTGGTGCTGTAGCTCAAGTGGTAGAGCGCTAGTCTCAAGCACAAAAAAGTCTCAGGGACAGTGCTCAGGCTTTAAGTTCTAGGCCCCCCTCCCCCCAAAAAAAGTTTCAGTGAATAAGTCATTTCTTTATTTATTTTTGACTTATAAGTCTTCAAAATTTATAAATAGTACCAAACTAGGCCTCACTCAGGTGGCCAAAAGCTGAGGATTGTAACTGGAAGCAAAAGAGGCAGGAAAGTCTTTTATTTCCAGTTACCCAACAAAAATCTAGAAGTGGAGCTGTTGCACAAGTGGTAGTACATCAATTTTGAATGATAAAGCTAAGGGACAGAGCATAGGCCCTGAGTGCAAGCCTCAGTACTGGCACAAGAAAACAACAACAACAACAACAACAAGCCAAACAAACAGAAATAAATGAAAACAACAGGGTCTGGGAAGGTGGCTCAGTGGTAGAGCGCTTGCCTTGCATGCATGAGGCCCTGGGTTCAATTCCTCAGCACCATATAAGCAGAAAAAGCTGGAAGTGGCACTGTGGCTCAAGTGGTAGAGCGCTAGCCTTGAGCTGAAGAGCTGAGGGACAGTGCCCAGGCCCACAGTTCAGGCCCCACGTCCAGATAAAACAAAAAGAAATAAATGAAAACAACAACAATTTTTTAAAAAGCTAGGGTTCAAACCCAACAACGGTATCACTAATATTCAGGTGAGTTGTTATTTAACAATTTTAACCAGCCAAGCTCACGCCTGTAATCCTAGCTACTCAGGAGGCTGAGATCTGAGAATAGCAGTTCAAAGCCAGCCCTGGTAAGGAAACTCTGTGAGACTCTTATCTCCAATTAACCACCAGAAAACCAGAAGTAGTGCTGTGACTCAAGTGGTAGAGTGCTAGCCTTGAGCTGAAGAGCTGAGGGACAGCGCCCAGAGTTCATGACTCATGAACCGACCAAGACAAAAAAACTTAACCTAGAATGATGGCAAAGCAGACAGGCACTTGTCTCTGGAGAGTGAGATGTTCAACGACCTTTCTGTCAAGGATGTAGCCACTGCTGAGTATATCTGAGTGGCTTTTGGTCACTCCCTTTGTGTGTAACTTTTGTCTACTGCTGCCTACCTCAGGCTGCCTATCTCTACACTTATGTGAAAGGTGACAAACATAGCTGAACTCGCTTCATTCACATATTTTTCTGACTTTTTTCTTATCTTACAGGTGATGTTCAAAATGTTTCCCACATTGAAGGCAAGTAGCTCATGCTAACTACCCAAGAGTCTGAGATCTAGGATCATGGTTCAAAGCCAGCCTGGATTAAATAAAACCATGAAATTTCATCTCCAAAATAACCAACCAAATGCAGGGGTAGAGGCATGTCTCTATCAGTAAAGCATCAGATGAGCAAGCAAACTTTGTGAGCACAAAGTCTTTGTGTTCAAACTCTGGTACTGGCAGATTGAAAGCTGAAATCGTGTACGACCCAAAACACGCAGCAGCGTGGCTGACAGAACAGGGTCTTCAAGGCATGATCACTATCATTTATTAATAATACAGATGAAAAGAGTTTGTATTCGGACCTTTTTGTTTTTAAAGCATTTTTCAGAACTTCCTGTGTGGTTACTTAGCTGTAGGAAAGCTTAGCCCATTTTCCACTGGTGATGTAAATGTTTACAATACCTGCCCAGAGTTTCTTCCTGATGAAGATAATGAACCCAAAAAGCATTTCTCTGTTTGCCTTTCTTCTTCACATTCAGATAGTCACCCAAATACACAGCAGTTTCTTGGGCTGTCCACAATTCAGACTTTTTCGAATATTTTAATAAAAGAGCATCTGGAAATAAAAAAAACAAGGTGATTTTTTTAGAAAGATGTCAGATTATGAATAATACTCATAAATTTCTTATGATCTGGGAACCTCGCATTGTTCTGTCAGATCAGAGGGAAACAAATAATTTACCTAATAGACCACTGACAACATCAGAGATCCTAAGTTACATAGTGAAGCATCTCCCTATAGCTGCTGTACAAAGATGTGAATTCAATTGAAAAAGAAAAAGAGGAGCTAGGAAGGAGTGTCTCCATGCTAACGGAAAGAAGAAGATCATTAAGCAGAAGAACATCTTTTCTAGGGGAAGACCTACATGAACTTTTTTTGGGGGGGGTTATACTTCATTATTATTATAAAGGTTTACAGTTACATAAGTCAGGTAATATACCAACAGGAACATTAATAAAGGGATGTAATTTGGTGTCCAAGTTAAAATTCAGTGAACAAAGACCTCTGGTGTCTGGATTGTGATAGTGAAGGGAAGAATGGGAGACTCAGGAGACAAAATACTTAAAAGACACCCGCAAGTGTGAGAAGGGAATGGTTGAGTTGGGGAGACAGTGAACAGGATTGAGTGATCAGAAGAAGCTGAGATGGAAATGGAAGGTGAACCGCTTGTCCCCTCCACACTCAGGGAGGGTGGCAAATACAGAGAAAAGACAAGAAAGAGTTCTTTTTTCCACTTGTTCTATTCCCATAACTTCTGGAATTGGTTCCCTCTACTGCGCTTCTCATCCATACATTGACAAACACTAACAGTAAATATCAATAGAGCAATTACCCAACTATAAGAAATATGATTTTGAAATTGTAGGGGAATGCTACTACTAGGGAATATTAGTTTTCATTGTGGTAACCTGATCTTGTGTTTTGATCTGAGTTCAAGGCCATGAGTAAATCACTGGAGTACTTTGAAGCAGAAATTTTCAACATTGGATCAGCAAGGATGAGCTCCTAAAATAACTGATGTTGGCATCACTGACCCAGGTCTATTGGATGTGTTCTCTGGGATGAAAGATCTCCAAGGAATTCTCACTTGGTGCCAAAAGTAAGAATTAATACTTAGAGCTGGGAGGTGGTGGCTCACACCTGTAATCCTAGCTACCCAGGAGCTGAGACCTAAGGATTGAGATTTGAAGCCAACCCAGTCAGGAAAATCCATGAGACTCTTATCTCCAATTAACCAGCAAAAATCTAGAGTGAAACTGGATTCAAGTGGTAGAGCACCAGCCTTGAGCAGAAAATCTCCGGGATAGCACCCAGGCCCTGAGTTCCAGCCCCAGTACCAGCACACACACACACACACACACACACACACACACAGAATTACTATTTAGTATCCATTGCTTAGTAATCCATGTAGTTAATTTTTTCTGAGACACACTTTTGAACAATTTTCTCTTTTGAATAATTCTGTTACATATGATTCTCTGGGCTTAAAAGAATAACTTGTCTTTCTCCAGCTTCTTCACCACTGAGCTACTGGCTTCAGCCTCCTGATTTTGGTAGAAGTCACAACTGATTGCAACTATAAGAATGCTGTGGTCAGAACATTTGGGTCTTCTCAAAATTTACATGTTGAAATCCTAACCTAAAAGGTAATGATGTTGGGAGGGAGGGCTCTCTGGGAGAGACAAATGCATCATGAGGAAGTCCCCAGCCCCTCCTACCTTGGGAAGATACACAGAAAAGTCTCTATCTATGCACCAGAAGTGGACCCTCACCAGACACTCAAACTTTCTGTCTCTTAGCATTAGACTTCCTAGCATTCTTAGAATTTGTGAGAAACAAATTCCACACATTTATAATCCACCCCATTAATGATATTTTGCTATAGCATGCCAAACAAACTAAGGCAAGTTGTAGCCTGATAGATTCATGGGTTGGCAAGAAATTGCTTCGGGTGGACAAGTATGGAAATCTCTGCCACAGGATGCTATCCTCCTAGAATGAGGGCTGGGGGGGGGGGAAGGGAGGGTGCAAAACAAGTTGGTTAGTTTTGTTCAAATCCTCTGAGATTCCCAGCTCCCTTTCTGTCTAATGTGACCGTATAGAAAACTTCCAATATCTTATGGTGGCCTGAGCCAATCTTTATTCTTGGCAATCATTAGGATCCTTTACACAAAAAGTGGAGGGGGCAGGTAACTACACTTTTCACTATGTGCTCACAGACAATAGTGTTACTTTCATGAGCTTTAAGTGAGCTACACAAGCTCTTCAGAAGCCCCCAAACATAGATGCTCCATGAAGCCGTGCCACCCAAAAACATGGTACGTACTGTGTGCCCGCTGGAGTTGGCAGGGCTTAAAAACTCCTGTATTCTCCAGTCTCTGCAGTAGCCAATCCCATCTCACTCCTGCCAGCAGTTTTTCAAAGTCATCAGATTGCAGGGTTCGAGCCTCCAGGGTCTCTTCCTTGGTGATTCCTGGCACTGAAACAGAAGAACTTCTACTGGACTTTAGAAAGGACCATGAGTTGTCCCCTTCTGAAGAACCACTGGAAAACGCAGGTGATTTCAGCCACCAGAAAGGGGCTGAGCTGGAGTTCTGGCTGCAGTTGAGTGGGATTACAGCTTCTTTCCCTTCCTCCGTGGTGGTGCAGTCCTCACTGATGCCCGGGAAGGAAGCGTTCCCACTTAGACAGGATTTGAAGGTGTCAGGTCTTGGAGCAGAGAATTGCCTCACCATGAATGGTCTACAAAGTCCATGTTCACCAATGGAGCAGACACCTGTGCTGGCAAGCAACTGACCCTCCTCATCCTCTGTTGTGGCATCAGGGTCAATTTTCTGATCTTCAACTGAGCCACCATTCTTTCCTGAGTCAAGATTCTGAGCAGGCCAATGAGGACTGAAGGAGTTAGACACCAACCTGCATTGGTTGCCCTGAGCACTGCCCATGACTGCTTGGAAGCCTAAGGACCCATCTTCTGTATGTTCAGCAGTTTCTCCTTCCGGGTCAACCCAGGATGGATTCTCTGTAAATAGAGAGTCTTTGAATCTTGCAGTGAGTTCTTTTCCCTTCTCTTCCCTGTGCCAGTTTCTGAAGTCACCAATTGGCTTTGGAAAAACATCAATTTTTTCAAAAGCTTCTTCTTCTTGGATAGATGGGTATCTAGTCAGGTACTTGCACCTGCCATTACCAAGTGAAAGGCAAGAAACGGAAGTGCTGGAAGGTCTGCAGTGAGCTGAAGAACTTCCAGGTCCTTCAGGTCTGACTTCCGGGATACTGTTTTGTCCTCCTTCTAATAATCCTGGGCTAGAGGCCAGACAAGTGTTTGTGGTGTTGCAAGTGTTTGTTGGTGTTGTCAGGGGCATCGGTGTGTGTAGCTGACTCTGAGAAGCCTCTAAATGGTCAACTTTGGTTCCCTGGAGAGAGAGACCAGGAGATGGTGGAGACAATAAGTGCATAGGTCTTCTGTCCTTGTCATCCTGCAGCTCCTCAGACAACGCAGTCGAACACTGAGTATCAACAAGATGGTCTTCTTTGCTGCACTCTTGTCTCACGGACTTTTCTTCCACATGGTAATTTACTTCCTCCCAGCTCGTAGAAGAACTAAGCCCGGAGAACTTGCTCCAAGAACTGGAGCTCTGGCTGTCACTCTGGGACTTGTTCAAAACATCTCTCCTCCCATTGCTCTGGTCAGGCGGCTCAGTCTCAGTCTCCATCCCTTGATCCAGGGAGACTCGGAATGCATCAGAATGGGTCCAGTTTCTCCTTTCTGCCCTTCTGAGCCTCTCCCGACCTTCCTCAGCCATTATGGAGGAGTTCATTCCCCTGCTTTCTTGAGTGCATGGATTGTCTTGTGTCATACTCATCGTATCCATGGATTTTGTTTCTGTTTTTAGAGCAGTGACACAGACTCCCGTTTTTGTGTCTTTCTGTTGGTCTTTCTTGCTTCCACAGCTGCTTTCAAAAACCTCACACACTGAAGTATGGTGCTGTGAATAGGCCTCAAGGATTTTTTGGAAATCCACTTGCCCACGCAAGATCGGTTTATTCAATCTACTCTTGAAACTCTCTGGAACGTAAGATCTGTCATCTAAATTTGAGAAACTTTGGACATGGAAAAGATCCTTCACCTGGCTGATAGCAGTCATGATTTCCCGAGAGAGGGCTTCTCTGTCCTGACTTCTGAAGGAAGTGCCAAAGAAATACAGCTTCCCCATGGCTGTGAGGCAGAGTTCATTCGCTGCACACACGGCCACTGTCTCTCCGTGCAGTCTTCGGTGCACTATGGTGAGACCCAAGGCGGCTTTGATGAAGCTGTGAAGCTCTTGTTTGCCAGTCACTGGCTCACCATGTTTCTTGCTCAGGAGGCCAATCTCAAAGGCCTCTTGGGCTGCACACAGATACGCATTTTTCATGCCTGCAGGGCAGTCATGAGAACTAGCGAATGACAACAAGCATGTGCCACGGATGTTCTAAGGAAAATACCAAATGCAAAATGAGATGTTGAATGGGAAACTGGAAGTGAACCAGGACAAACTCTCCATTGCTAGAGGCCAATCCTTAGAAATATTTTAGGAAATGAAACAGCCCACAAATAGTCTAAGGAAGATGAGCAAACATTGAGACCTGTTGAAGAATAGAAAGAATGGCCTGGAATGTAAGTACTTAGTTAATACGAATGGGTAAGAAATTAGCTTTAGCTACCATCTAGCTGTAACCCTTATGATGTGTGTGTGTGTGTGTGTGTGTGTGTGTGCATATTTTTGATCCTAGGTTGGTTGACTCTGTAGACATAGAACCTCTGGATGTGGAAGGCTAATGGTATTTCAAAATACAAGAATTCTCAGTGCACCAGTCTCAGAGATTTGCTGTTAATAGATCTAGGGTAGAGTCTAGGAATGCGTATTTTGAAAAGGCTCTTTGGGCTATTCTCTGTGTTGCCAGGCTTGAGAACCATTGTTCTAGAACAAGCAACATTATACACTTGGGCTGAATTAGCTACCAAAAAGACATGGCCATTCTGACTGTCTGCTCTTTTCTCCAGGTTGAGTCTTAGCACAATCGTCAACCATGAGGCCCAAATCTCCTTTAGGGTGACACCTTTCCCTCCCCCTGGCTGCCTGCTAGAGTCCCCAGGGGCTGGGGTCCCAGGAGAGCCGCAGTCTATTTACCACAGCTGTGAGCACAAACAGGGGTGTGTAGGCGCTGAAGGCAGCCGCTAGCTTGCAGGCTTCTGCAGCCGACAGCAATTGGTGATCAAACTCCTTGAGCAAGCCCTGCGAGACACAGAAGAAAGGAATCAGCGATTACTACTTATCAATGAACAACATCGTGTGATGAAATGTCTTTGTTTACTTCTCAAGATTCTGAAGGATTCCTTACTCCTCACTGGAAACCTGTCAGAAAACACTAAGCAAGACTAAGTGGGTCTTGATTAAAAACTCCAGAACACTGACTATTCTTTTTCCCAGCATCTCCCTCCCACCCCCATCCTCCATCTACATTCTAAAGAGGGCCTACTATGTGCAAAGTAAGCCAGACAGGCTGCTGGCGTCTCTGAAAAATGTGGTAGTCTTGGTTCTCATGACATTTTGCAACCCCAATCAACTATTTCAGTGTTATTCTTGAGGATTCGTTCATTTAGTCAGCATCTCCATGGGCCAGGCACTGTTGTAGACTCTGAGAGGAGATGGACAGTGAGCTTACTATGTTGACAGAGAGAGACTGTTACTCACAAAGTAAGTAAAATAGATAGTATCAAGTGGTGGTAAGTGTTCTGGGGGAAAATAAAGTGGAAAAGGGATTCAAGAGGTACTGGAAGTTTGTGACTGATTAATTAATATTAATGTGGTACCAGGGCTCCAGTCAGGAGCTTGCTTGGCATTCTACCATTTGAGCCCCACCTCCAGTCTAATGTGTTCTTGACTTTTCTGCCTGGGATGGCTTCAAACTGTCATCCTCCAGGTCTCAGCCTCCTGAGTAGATAGGACTCAGGTGTGAATCACTAGTGTCTAACTTAAAAATCTCTAATTCTGAACCATCATCAGTAACAAGTTCACTGAACAAAGGACATAAACTTTTTTGTTTTCATTTGAGAATAGAAATAGCAACTCCATGAGATTCATATGACTAAGAGCAAGGTGTGCTTGTTACACTAATGTGGAGTAGGTTACTATTGCCCTTTTGGGTATTTAATAAAGGGGCAGTAGATATGATATGAAAAGAATCTCAGTTTCAATGCTGCCTGGACAGAGTTCAATGTTATTGTCAATGCTCCAGGTTCTGCTTCGAGATTTTTCTCCTACTAGCTGGGAAAACTAGAGGTTTGTTAGTTTTCTAGGCCATGGATCACGTTTTTTGTAAGCTAGGAATGATATATTCTGTTCTATCTTATAAGGTATGTGTGGATAGCCACATGGTTTTTGAGCAGTAAGATAATAAATAAATACTCATAGTCATTACTATTAAGGGTAAGAATATTGGAATAAATGACTGATGCATGATTTGAATAGATGGTAAAGGGTTTCAAATTCCTCTATCATCAAGATGGCCCAAGTTTGGATGTTGAATTTTGCGATCATTTGAAAAGAAATAAATGGAACTCAAAATCACTTTGATGATATTCATTCATTCATTCATTCATTCATTCACTAGGACTTTTTCAAGTGTCCGCTGTGTGACTGATTTTCTACTAGGTGCTAGATAGGTTTAGTTACATTATTCTAGGTGAGCTTATGTGCTCCAACCCACACTCTCCTGGGAAAGTAATTGACTAACCAGCACCAAAAGTAATGTTGACAGTTGTACAAGGGAACAGTATGAATTGCTTTGTCACCATTATGAACCATATATTTGACAAACAATGATTACCAGGTTAATCCGTGGATTGTTTTTAAACCTTTCATAATCATTCTTGCTCATGGAAACAAAGATGTCTGCCAAGATACCAAGGGATGTGGAGATGCCCTGTAAGGGAAAACAAACGGATCAGACTAGAATTCAGAGTTGACTATTGCTCTTATCTATGGCCGAAAGGCAATGATTAACCTTCCACCTGAACCACTTGCCTATTACCCTATTACTGCTATGATCTGGGAAATGCCTTAGAACTGATGTCACTGGCTTATGGACCAACTGGAAACAATGATATTTCTTAGTTGGGTTTCATTAAGTCTGCACTAACTGGTCCATACTGCTAAGGATGAATAACGGGCCTAAGAAAGAGAGCTCATATTCCATTCAATCCATGTTGTAGACAGAACACTGCTGACACAGCTCTAAGAGGTGGAATAAATATCCTGCAGCTTCAGACAATGAGGAGAATATTCCCATAAAATTACAGAGAATGAAAATGCCCAGTCGGAAAGCCAAGGTTTGCTTTTTGATTTCTTAAAGATGCTACATAAACTATTAACTTAAGAAGAACAATTGTCCATATACAGCATCTTGGTCAACCCAACTTTGCTCTAGAATTAGGAGAAGGCTAAATATGTGATAAGGAAAATAGTGAATGAAGCAGAAGAGGCAAATACATGATTATAGAAACACTGGGTATATGCTGAGTGTAACTGTGAGTCAGGAAGAATGAGACAAAAGGGAGTGAATGTATTTTCCTGGTCCTATGTTCATGAAGTAAATAAAAATAGGAACATGAAGTTGATAAATGGTCAATTTAACTGTTTTATTAGGAGATAATCACCTAAGGAGAAATGTGGGAAAGTAGAAAAAAGACACACTAGACATACAACCTTTTTATCTGGCTGAGGAAGTGTCAAGTATCCTGCGATTGAGGCCCATATTAACTCTGCCGCTTCATACCACATGCCTAAAATCAATCAAACAAAACACAAAATGGGACACACAGAAAGAAGCAGCTAATATCTATAGCTTCTGTGTTAGAAAATAATCTTGCTGGTGGCTCAGATCTGTGATCCATGCCACACAATGAGGCTGTGATCTGAGGATTCAAGTTCAAAGCCAGTCCAAGGCAGATAAATTGAAGATGCTTATCTCTAATTAACTAGCGAAAATCTGGAAGTGGAGCTGTGGAGCTGTGATAGACCTCCAGTCTTGAGTGGTAATAAGTTAAAACAGAGTGCCCAGGTCCTGAGTTCAAGCCCCCAGTATCATCACACACAAGAGGGAAGAAAGAGAAAGAAAGGAAAAAATAGAAAAGAAACAGAAAAAGCTGGGCACTAGTGGCTCATGCTTGTAATCCTAGCTACTCAGGAGACTGAGATCTGAGGATCCTGGACAAAGCCAGCCTGGACAGGAAAGTCCATTAGACTCTTATCTCCAATAAATCACCAGAAAACTGGAAGTGTTGCTGTGGCTCAAATGGTAGAGCACTCACTTTGAATTCAGGGACTCACTTAAGAATTCAGGGAGAGTGCCCAGGCCCTGAATTCAAGCTCCAAGACTGACAAAAAAAAAAGGTTTATTGTATCTTGTTAAGAAAACTCAGGGCTGACCAGAGGAATTCTAGGAGGAGGACACAGAACTAGAAGGAATCAGGGAAAAACATACAACAGTGGGACCCATCAGCTGCCCTGGACATTGATCAAAATGAACTAAGCAACTCAATGGCAGCGATGGGAGGGAGGGAACAAGTGGGAAAGAGGGAACAGCTGATGCTATGCAAAACAAAAGAAATGTA